AAGAGAAGGGAGAGGAAAATAAAATCAAATTTTACATCCTTGGACATGCTTAAGTTGGTTATGACTCCATTTTCTAGATTCTCCTAACATGGCATGTCAATACAGGTAATCCTTGACTTACAACCATTCGTTTAGGGACTGTCTGGAATCAAATCCAGGTGGTGGTTTTTTTTTTTCCAAGATTCAACGTAAACTTCAAGGCAAAACATCTGAAGCTTCCGGTCATGCCCCTGTCAGAGTCTGAATCCGAGGACGATGAACAGTGGACAGCGGGCGGGAGTGTGGCTCCGTTGGCTGTGGAGGAAACTGGGGAAGGGCAAAGTCCGGCTGGGCAGAGCAGGGGAGAGGTAGAACAAGGGAGAGGGAGTTCGGAGGAAGACCCAGGCGCACCCCCTCTTCATCCTAGGGCACGCAGGGAGGAACAGAGAAGGGAGCAACGTGGGTTGCATGGCTTACGGGGGAGGAAAGGGCCCTGATTCCCTTCATTAGCCGCAGCTGGGAATGAGAGTTAATAAGAAAGGCAGGCTGTGTGCGGCAGGCTGTTGGGAGCAAACGTGAGTTTATCTTGTGTTGTTTGGCTTATCTGTGTTCCTGGTGTCTTCCCAACTGAGTGAGTTTTCCTGTGCCTTCAAGTCTGGAATTCTTGCTTCTGCCCTACCAAACTAATTACTACAGTTTGATTTTTTTTAAGTTACAGTTTGTGTTTACCCTGTTTTGGACTTGATTCTCTGCAGCCAAAGGCTGTTCCTGGGACAGTTTTTCTCCAGCCCAGAAGGTAACCAGGACAAGAAGTTTGTCTCGAGACTCGGGATTTAATTGCCAGAATCCTGACACCTCCAACATTAGATACAGGATGGTTAAAATACAGGTTAGTCCTTGACTTATAACGGTTCATTTACTGACCGTTCCCACCCTGCTGGATTTCTGCATGCAAGGAATCTTATAGGGAAACATCATTCCACTCTCTACAGGCAGTCCTTGGCTTATAATGGTTCATATAGCGACTGCTCAAAGTTACAACAGCACTGAAAAAAAAGTGACTTAGGGCCTTTATTCACACTTACGACCATTGCAACATCCCCGTGGTCAGGTGATCAAAATCCAGACGCTTGGTGATTGACTCATATTTACGATGGTCGCAGTGTCCCCTGGGAGGGGGGTGTCGGGTGATCCCCTTTTGGCAAAGTCAACGAGGAAGCCAGATTCGCTCAATGACCGGGTTCCTCACTTAACAACTGCAAGGATTCCCTTAACAACTGTGGCAAGAAAGGTCGCCAAATGGGGCAGAAAAAACCTCCCTTAACAACTGGCTTGCTTAACGATGGAAGTGTTGGGCTCTGTTGTGATCGTAAGTGGAGGACTCCCTCTATTTTCAGATTGCCAATTCGGGGGGGCGGGGGGGGCGGAAGGGAGCGCTGTGCCTCCCTGGACTCACCCTCTGGTTATAGACGGTGAAGTTGTCGTAGAGATTCACGATGCACTCGGCCTTCTGGCGGAACCGGCTGTAGGAGGCGTCGGTCCACCAGTGCACCAGGTTGCCGTACCGGTCGTACTGTCCGCCTGCAAAGCAAGCGCTTGGGGGAATGACATGGTTGTGATGTGGCTTTTGTGCACACACGCACACGCATACACATGGCACATACACACCTGTCTTTGGAAAAGAGGCTACCATGATTTCTACTTCTGATTTCTGGTCTACGTAGAACCTGATTTGTCTCCTGAAGAATTTCTTTCCTTCCTTCCTTCCTTCCTTCCTTCCTTCCTTCCTTCCTTCCTTCCTTCCTTCCTTCCTTCCTTCCTTCCTTCCTTC